ATAATGAAAACTAACTTGTAAAATAATTCCTGACCATTGTGAGAGGAAGAGAACAATGGTTGCCTGAATTTTCTCCTCTTGAAGGAGCTTTGTCCTTCAGGTTTGTTCTAGGGAGACAAGCATTGCTGATGGCATGACAGCATTGGCTGCTTTAAACAACCCTTTTAAAAGTATATGTGTCAACGTCCCTTTCTTCTAATATCTGCGTTAGCCCACCCTTGATTAGGTACCGAGAAGCACACGAGGGCTGCATATCCACTGAGCTCAAGCATTCTGCCCACAACACTCTACAGCCTTCCCACAGTGCGCTCCCACCCCCTCCTCACCAAGAGTTAGGGAGTTAACCGTCATTGTTTTTCCCAATCCTATCTGCCAACCAGCTTCCAGGCAGCCCTATTAACAAGGCAGGATCCATCCAAGTTGGCTAGAATGTTCTATGGTGGGTGCTGTCGACATGTGAAGTTGAAGCTATTATGGGCTTCCATAGACAAACATGTAGACCATTTCTCAGCAGAACAATCCAGGCCTAATAATCTAAACCTGGGCAGGGTCACCTGAGATGGTGGTGCTTCTCAAGTCTAAGATATGTTAAACAATCGGATGAAAAGAACCAGGAAGACTCGCCGAGCACTTGACCAATAACACGGCACACAAAGCTAGGAGTGCTTCAGAGGAGTAATGAAAAGATGCGCTCCCGGTCGGTCCTAGCACGGGGAGGCACTCAGCACTCATTACAGGGCACCAGCAGCAACCGCTGCTAGGGCTCCCTCTAACTCCGTCTCCAACACAATGAAGCCCCACTTCGGAGGACTTATAATTCAGCCAAAATAATTTGCTGCAGGAGTGTTTCAAAAGACCTTCTTATAACCCTTTCAATAAACTCCAACATCAGAAATTCTGAGCTCTAAAGAGCCTGCTGCTTCTAAAGCAGGTCTTGTTGTGGGTTAGGGTTTTCAGTTGTCAGTCACGTGGGCTTTATTTCTGTTGTGTGAAGTTCTTCTAAATCACATCTCACTTTGGTTAATAGGTGGGAATAGGAGATGAAGCGCCTCAAAACTGATCCCCTTGGCTATTTTTCATTAAGACAATGACTAGACCAGGCGTTTGAATACAAAATGTTAATGCATGCTTGCTAGGAAGTCATAGTTCAAGCCGGAAAATCTAGACTCAGAGAATATGCAGATTGTATTTCACCTGAATTACACAGCAAAAGTCAAGGGCCTGGAGAGGTTTCTTAACTTTTCAAGGTACTGAGGGAATCATGGGAAATACTGTCATAGAAATAACAAGTCACTTAACCCAAGACTTGCAAACTGGAAGCTCCTGTCTACGGCTGGCCTTCCTCAAAGTCATATGAACTCAACAGAATAAACAATGAAATGCATGAATCTGTAATACACTAGCAAAATAAAATTCCTTCTTGAAAGTTCCAAACACCTTAGTATCTTGTGAGGCCTGAGAAACACGCGGAGCGGGACTGGTGCTCCCTTGCTTTTATTCCAGGCATCCGCTGCTTTTCTTGACGCTATGAACAAATGTCTGACAAGAAACAACTTGAAAGGGTTTGCTTTGGCTCTAGTTTTAGGGCCCTCTGTCATGGCAGGGAAGACAGTCACCGAGGCCCCTGGTCACGTTGTATCTGCAATCAGGAAGCATGAGACACCCAGCACTGGTCTCAGCTCTGCTTCTCATTTTAGCCCAGGACCCCAGCTCAAGACATAGCGCTGTCGACCCTCAGGAGTGGGCCTTCCTTCCTCAGTTAAACTCTACTGGAAACCTTGTTCCAAACAACTCAAGGGAATACTTCCATGGTGATTCTAAATCAGGCCTAGCTGGCAGGAAGAAGGCCATCACATTCTGTGGCTCCCAGACTTCAGTCAACAGATGTCAAACACAAAGCTAACGTCAGCAATGCAACCGCTGGAGCAGGGTCTCTCTTCAGAATAAAAACTACTGGGCCCTAATCCCTTGCTAAAAACTGAGCTCCCAGCACCCTAACCCAGCCTTGCTGACCTTATGGAAGCCTGCCCCGTAAGCTGACACCCTGTCCCTGCATCCTTACACACTCTGAAGATTGGTAGCCCCTGAGGCACTCGCCAGCAGTTATAGGTTCTACTCTCTAAAATAGAATAGACACGCTTTAGACATTAAAATATCTCTCATCGGGCATCAGATTGTGAATAACACAGTCAGATGAGCATAATTCAAAGAACCTCCGAGAAATGACAGTGACTCAGAGAAAGGCGAAAACATCTCCTGTCATTGGGTATCAGAGACCTCAGGCCTGCTCTTCTTGGAAGCATACACTGACAGAACATTCCAAAGCAATCCTACTTTGAGCATTAAGAGACTTAAAAGCATGAACGATCTTTAACTCAGTGATTCACTTCTAAAGATTTTAAATGGGGGAGGGGCGTCTTCCTGGCTTCAGGGTTTACAGATGTTTGCTGCCAAGACTGATAATCTGAGTTCAAGCCCCAGGACTCACACAGCGGAGTAAGGGAACCAACTCCTGCAAGCTGTCTTTTGACCTCATATCACTTAAGTGCCTATACTCCTCTCCTCTACACTACATAATCGAAAAATTGTAAGTTTTTAAATTAAAGCCCATTTAATAAAGAAATCAACAGCAAACTTAAAATGGGAGGGGTATATTGGAAACATCTAAAATTTGCCAGCAATTATTAAACATATTTTTAAAGGCTTTATTAGATGCTTCTGTTGAAGTTGCTTAGTAACAGATGTTTCCATTGAAGCATATTGTGATATCATGTAGAAATCTAGTGTGTATTTTATACTGCTGCTGCATTTTGACCCAGTTCAGACACATTCCAAGCCTCCATCCCACAGCAAGCCAGTGACCCCCATGTTGGAAAGCAGAACTCTAGAAAAGGGACTCTGTCCGACTGAGAGAAGGCTGAGAAAGCAACAGCAGAAGTGGGGCCGGAACAGAGTAAAGACTATATGCTATGATGAAAAAATATAGTGAAAAATAGGGAGAGAAAAGAAGAAGAGAGCAGAGCCCCCCTCCCCTCCCTCTCCCTTCCCTCCCTCTCCCTCCCCTCCTTTCCTCTTCCTCCCTCTCTCTCCCTCCCTTCCTCTCCCTCTCTTCTCCCTTCCCTACGCTCCCACATTCCCTCTCAGGGACTCATACACCAGACAAATGTTAGACCATTGAACTCATGGCCTGCTCCATAGTCTTTGACTTCAGCACCTCCACAGCAAGGGTAAGAAAACTGAGTGGCGGCTGCCTTGGCCTATAATGTCTCTGGCCGCTGCCCCTAGGTGACAGCTGTGCCCTGGTCCACAGACGACACAGTGCCCTCAGCTTCACTATCAAAGTCATTCCCACTGTCCTAGAGGGCAGACACACCCCAGGTAAACACTGCTGCTCTATAGATTATTAGTGGTGGCTAGGGGGCCTAAAGGACTAGTGACGGGAACAAGTTAACAAGAATACAGCAGAATAAAAATAAAGATACAATTAAAAAGGTAAGCACTAAGACAGAAATAGACATCCTCTACAAACACTGAAAATAAAAAAGAAGAGCAAAGGATACATCATTAATAAAGAAAAAGAAAAATAGTAGGTAGCAGAAATCATCACATATGTAACATAATTCAGGGCATACATACCAGCCATACCAATAAATAAGAACACGGATTCTCACCCACAGTAAGAAGATGGACAGCTCACATCAAATACAAGAACAGGTTCTAAATTTTAATACTTTTTTTCATTTTTATTATCTATGTGAGTGTAGATGTTTTGCCTGCATGGATGTCCGTGCAGCACCCAGTGATTCCAGAAGAGGGCATAAGATCCTCTGGGAGTGGAGTTATAGAGAGTTGTAAGCCAGGCAGTAGGTGGGTGCTGGGAATCAAACCCGAGTCCTTTGGAAGAACAGTCAGTGCTCTTACTCACTGAGCCATCTCTCCGGCACCATGAGTTTCAAAATATCAATATTTTAAATGAATGTTCTTAGAAAAAAAATGTATGGACAAATTGTTTTTTAAATTTCACAGGGTAAGAAAGGCCCTGACTTCCTAGGTGATGAGCTGTGACTCAGGCATCTAAACTGAAAGAAGCCCTTTTCTCCTCCCGTTGCTTTGGGTCATGTTTTATCACAGCAATAGGAACTCACGATCATTAAGAACCAACAGGCTAGTACATAGTAGAAGGCACCCTGCCTTCTGAGAGAGGCCTCCTTAGGCAGTAGCAGAACTGTGGTGATCATTTTCTCATTGGTATGACAAAATATCTGACAAACACCTTAGAGGAGAGTTTTCTGTTTAAGGAAGGATGCTGTTCACCATGACAGGAAATGGACAATGGGAGGACCATGAACCAGACGGTTGTATCACTGCAGCAACAGGGAAGAAAGAGCAAAAGGCTGCCAGCCTCAAGCCCCACCCCAAGTGAACCACGTCCTCCAGCGAAGCTCCACCTCTTAAAGGTTCCACAAGCTTCCCATGAACCTGTGGTTCCCATTCAGGCTATGCAATGGCTCAGTGGCAAACTCACTCGTGTTTGGTTTGCTCCTGTTTGTCTATTCAAATGATCTGTTACAGCTATGGCTTCCGACAGATGTCATCCAGACAAGGCCTTCGGCAGAGCAGATGGGCTCTGTCCTCTATATTTTCTTCCCAAAGTAAATATGTAATAGAAACTTAAGGAAGCTTCTATTTTGTGTATTTTCAAACTACAAAACAAAACATGTCAGTGGCCATTTCGTGGAGATTTTTAGTTTGCGTCCTCAAGGAGAGATCAAATTCTAAGTGTTAGGGTCCGCGGATCCCCCCCCCACACACACACACACACAAAACAAAGGCCACTGCTCACATATGCAATCAGCAAGAGCGCTGTTTACTGCACCAAGCTGAGGTCTGCCAGCCAGACAAGGAAATAGCTGAGACCCGGGAGGGGATTAGGTCACCCTGAATCTGATTGGTCGGGGCTCCTCTTCCTGCTTTAAAGGGGAGAAACCTAAACTGAAACTAAATCTGATGCAGACCAGGACTGGGAAACCGAAACTGGAACTAACCTGGAGCTCAGGTCTACTGCGGGCTGGGAGCAGGAGAAGCCTGGCCGGAGCGCTACTGCGGCCCCTCAGTAAGTCTATAATACTTTATCTAGGAAAGATACGTCATTGAAAATATCCCATGGATGACAAGTTCTGTACCTTCTCTTCTCTGTTCCACAGAGGAACGGTCTTCATGTTCTTTAATAGCTTGGAGGAGCGCGTATTTATGGGACGAAACTACATCCAAAGAAGATCCAGGAAAACCCATCTAGTGATAGTTGCTCTGTAAGCCTGTAGTGGGCGGCATCTTGGAGGAGTCCAGGGGCCCTTCAAAGAAGGGGGCTGTTATGAAGAAACAGACCAGGTGGAATGGGACAACGAAGGGTCACAGCTGACTAGGGGCTAGGCACAGCAGGAAATGGCTCCTGAGGACTTTTTTTTTTTTTCAGGACAAGTCTGATTTTTTTATGAGACCCGTTTTTCTGATCCAACAAGCAAAAATCTGAGATTTGGCAAGACTGGCCTTACCTTAGTGAACTGATGCATGTATGTGATGTGATATGTGTGCCTGTGCATGTGCGTATTACGTGAGTGTGTGTGTGTGTGTGTGTGTGTGTGTAAGTATGCATGCATGAGTGTGCATGTGTGTGTGTATGCGTGTGCATGCACGTGACATATGGGATGGAGATGATCACGACGCGCACTCACCCATGCAGGCATGTGCATGTGGGGGCCCGAGCTCCCCACTGGCCATCTTCTTTCCTTACTCTCATCTTGTTTCTGAGCCAGGGTCTCTCGACTGAACCTGGAACTCACTGATCGGCTAGGCTGACTGGCACTACCTGTCTTTTGTTTCAGGGTTTTCTATTGAAAAGAGTTGTAAGCATGTCATTGTAGAAGCTGGCCTGGCATTTTTTTGTTTGTTTGTTTTTGGAAGCATAATTCTAAAGATAACTTTAATCTCCCTTTATGTCCACTCTACCTACTTTTCAGTGCTGAGTATCAAAGCCAAGCCCTCCTCCCTCCCACTCCTGCATGAGTGGAGTGCTCTGCCACCGAGTGCATGGCAGCTGTCAGCCTTGTCTCGTCAGAGAAGTAAAGCTGGTCACCTCTCCATTCCCACTGCATCCTTCCCGCCACCCCTTCTGGAAGGAAACCTGCCTACTTGACCTTAAACCCAACACATAATTACTTTCTTCTGTTTTACTAAAATAACGGTAACAAGTTTAATCCTCATGCTTTCCCTTGGTTCATTTGTAAAATAAAGGAAAACTAAAACACATAACATGTAACTAATTAGTAAACTTGTAATTACATTTAAATGAACCATCACAGTAAGCAGCCAGTCTTGAAGGCAACAGGGCCCATTACGATGTCTCTGTGACCACAGTAGTCTTTAAGTCTCTTCTCCCTCTTTTCTCCTGATTATCCGAAAGTGATGGATGGTACAGGATAGTACTGGATGGTACAGGATGGTACAGGATGGTACTGGATGGTACAGGATGGAACTGGATGGTACAGGATGGAACTGGATGGTTTCTGGATGGTACAGGATGGTACTGGATGGTACTGGATGGTCCTAGATTGTATAGGATGGTACTGGATGGT